GTTTTTATTTCCATGCTTTTCAGGTTCTAAGTGAGTGGTTTGGATGTTAAGGGAGCATACTTGAGCCAAGATCGATTAAGTCAAGTTTTTGATGTAATTATGAACGTTGTGTAAATTCTAACTCCTGTTATGTCGATTAACCGTTTTGTTTTTGAACAACTTGAAATGGTGTTATTTATAAACTGTTGCTATGACTCGCTTGCCTGTTACATCTCCTGATTCCGCTTTAGCGGGGTGTGACAATTTTTGAGGGCTCGCATGTGTCAAAACGGTACGCGTGTCTCAAAAAAATTGGATCATTTAAATAAAAATGCCATCATAAAATGTTTCATTTTCCATTTCTTTTAAAACAAAAAGTTTTAAAAAATTCAAAAATTATATTCTTATGAATATGAAAGGTTTTTGAAAGGGTTCAGTGATAAGAAAAATCACTGAAGAGAAGTAGATCTTTTAAAGCATTGACCACTGAAAGAGAAAATCTTCAGTGATGGTTTTGTTTTAAGAAAGAAAAATATCATAGAGAGATATATTTCCATAAAAGATTTAGTGATAGAAGAAACACTGAAACTATCTTTTAAAAACTTTTGATTCACTGAATAAGGAAGATATTTTTTTTTAAGATAAGATAAGTATATCATTGAGAGATATACTTGCTATAAAAAGTTCAACGATAGAAAGAATCACTGAAACAATCTTTTAAAACATTTTGATCACTGAAGATGAAAAGATTCAGTGATAGTTTTAAGTTTTAAAAAGAGAATAAGTATACATACCTTAGAGAGAAGATATATTTACTCAAGAGTTCAGTGATAGAATAAGAACACTGAATCATTTCACTTACTGAGTAATGCGTATGGCTGAAGGAAATTAATCCTCACCGTTTAGCATTTTAAGTTCGCTGATCAAGATATTAACTTTTGTCTCATAAAAAAGCTTTGTAAAAAGGTCAGCGAGTTGGTAGTGAGTAGGAATAAAGTGAAGTTCAGGATTACAATTCATAACATGATCTCTGATAAAATGATATCGGATATGAATATGTTTGGTCTTGGAGTGAAGAACAGGGTTGTTTGCAATCATAATAGCACTAATGCTATCACAATAGATATAAATTTTAGAAAACTGAAGATCATATTCGTTGAGCAGGTTTTTCATTGAATGTACTTGGGCATAACAACCTCCAGCGGCAACATATTCAGCTTCATCAGTTGATATGGGCACAAAATTTTGCTTTTTACTGGTCCAGCTTAACAACTTTCCACCTAGAACTTTCCACCTAG